AGACTGTCCAGTGTCAATGAAAGATGGAGTTTCATTGGAAATTATCACAGTAGCTCTTAAGAAGGTGTTTTTCATAGTGAAACTTTCAAAAATCAAGTCATGGAATGACTAGGTCAAATACCGCTTTCTCTGTATATCCCCATTTCTGAAAAAAAAAACATCTTATCCCTCCTGCTAGTTTGTTGATTACAACCACACCATGAAAAATTAGATATTAGATGATCGGGAAAGATTCAGTGTGTTCTAACAAAGAAAATAATACTGATCAGATTCCCATATTTCTTTTATGTTTTTTCTTTCTACTATTATCAGTAGAAATAAGTATAAGTTTGCCACTCTGAAACGCCTCACATGTGTTGAGGAGGAAACAATTTTCATCTGATCGGTTTATCCGATTTTAGTTAGCATTTTAATTATTTTGCTGGGACTTACAAAAAAACGAAAACATTTGTGCAGAAAACATATGTTTATTTTTTTTACTTGCGGATCTTGTCCTAGAATCAAGAAGTTTGATGTTTCTATTTTATCGTTCGAGATAACACATATCTCCAAGAAGAATAATGATTACATTACAACATAATATAATCAAGATTCTATCGAAGTTCCTGAGAAGCAGAATGAATTATTATTACAATAAAGTTCAGTGACTCTTATTGCTTTGATTAACATAATGTTATGTAACCATCATCAAACAGAACACACTGAGTCGGAAAAAAATAGAAGACGATATGATATAAATATACGTGTTTACAAGAAAGAAATTTGGAAAACTAAGAAAGTACATTTCGAACACACAATATTGTTTCATTTTGCCAAGTGAAGTGTGATTATTTTGTTAGACCAAAAATTTTCTGTCGAACTGTCCTTCAATTGTTCTGTTTCTTGAACGGATACTTTCTTCCATTGATTGGTTCAACTTTTTTTACTGAAGAATTCAACTGTGATATTAGGAAGATAGGTGCAGTATCTGCTACTTCCTTCAGTCGAAATGAATAGGAAAAAAAAACATTCGACTGACAAATAAATGACAGAAATAGCATATGTCCATTACGTTTTTAATGTGTAGCACATTCAGTGCCATACATTCAACAATGTAAATGACAACAGTTTCAGAATATTTCAAAGAGGTAGACTTGGTTGTAATGAAGGATAATGAAGGTTGGAGTTCATTTAGATTTTGTTAATAACATTTCATGATTTTATTTTTGTGACGTTGCTAGATATGCAGCAAGTTCTAATGTCATACTCTAATTCAATTATTCTTATCGCCTCCGAAAATCAATTGAGGTAAGGAAGATATAGAATGAGCTTCTTTCATGAAAATTGTTTTCATTGTTTCATCGTAATGTAATAGGTTAGATTAGGTCCAAAGTGAGTGTATGTATTCGACCCTCCACCGTAACCCGCAAGGGTTTATTGTGGCTCACACCTATTCACACTCGACCAAATAAACCCAGCTTCTCAACGAAGCCGATTATTTTGTATGGTGAGTGGTCTTTCAGGCCAGATGGTAAGAATACGGCTCTGCCGAACTCTAAAAATCTGATTCGGGTTCCAGCGGGGCAGGCACAAAGTATGTGCTCTGTTGTTTAAAAATACTAAATATAATAAATATGTATATCGTATCAAACAGATGTATTCAAGAAATAATCTAATATTTCTCTACGAAATACTCCCTGAGCTAGAGTTCAATCTAAATCTACAAGCACACTACATGTGTTGGCAGGTCGTAGCATGGTCACGAGAGGGGATCTGTTCTTTGTAACCACCAACGGAATATTGAATGGATACGTTCTCCGAGCTCTACGGGAAGGGACCATTGAATCCCAAATTCCAATTTGGGTCTCACAAGTGACTAGTATAATAATTTTACAGTATTATTATTCGTAAAGTCCCGAGTTTGTCTAATAATGGATCCTAACATTCGATTTGACGATTTAATAATATTTCGAATATGTTTGACAAACGATAAAGTACTGTTGTAAGTTACCCCAAGATCTCTAACTTCAGAACATATGTGGAGGACTTTCCCATTCATCATATAATCAAAATTAACAGAATCCCTCAAACGAGTTATTGTGATGATGCTACATTTGTAAGTATTAAATTTCAATTTATTTGTGATGTTCCACTCATGAATACTGTCGATCTCCCTTTGCAGATTAACACAGTCCCTAACTGTTTGTATCTGTTTATATATTTTCAGATCATCGGCAAAAAACAATGTAAATGTCTAGCTTTAAAATTATGGTATTCCAAAATGATGACTCATTTTCGCATCTTGTTCGATGGAATATTAGAAGATTGCAAAGTTTTAATGTTGCTAAATCTCATGGAGTTGAGTTGATAACAGAAAGTGTTTATATTCCTGGTTATGTGTACTCACCACCAAAGTTAAAAACTATTCAGCAAAAAATAGTAAGCCTGCCTATATTGAATACTGTCAATAGGCAATACTATCAGGGGTCCAATGTTTTGAAAATCAGGTTAAAATCAAACAGAAACCATACCTTTTCTAACAGGTATTCATGCATGTATTTACCATACTGAAATAAATCAACTCCTAAGTAAGGTCTAGAACAAGCACTTTTCCCAATGACCAGAAATGCAATACTCTTCTCGACGCTTGTTTCATAAACCAGATTGGCTTTTGATGCACTGTTTGGAACCTTTGGTGTAGTAATGAATATTACTGGAGTTTTTTTTTCCAACGCCAAATCGTTATTTTTAACATCTCTGAGGTGTTAAAAATACCGATTTGGTGTTGGGAAAAAACTCCAGTAATATTCAGGTTAGCTTTGTCAGGAGTTTAAGAAAACTGAATTGGTTTCGAAGAAAGCTGAATAAGTTTTCTTCATTTCCCGAAGACGCCAACTTGGTTGGTGAAACGCGCCTCCAGAAAAGAATTGCATTTCTAGTAGCGGGTAAAAGTGCTTGTTTTGGATTCATTTCATTCCATCAGAGTGTCCAGTTCCAGCTTTAAAGCTACGAACTGCGAGCAACGAATTCGTGCGAACGCTGTTCGTACGAAGTCGTGAGATGCACATCGTCCATTGCTCAGTATTCGTCCGGATTCGTAGTAGGCGAGATGGTTCTTCGTAACGGTTTTTCAATTATTCTGATGAAGAATTTTTCGCTTTGGAATTATCACTTTTGACACAATGTCGTATCAGGCACAGGTATTGACGAAGGCGGGAAATGTGGGTGAATCCCATTTACGCAAAAGAAAGGATATCGGTGAACTTTCTCATTTGTAGCATGATTTTCAAATCGACGATGGCCACCACTTTTCTTATTTGGAGAAAATACACATTTCAATACATTATTGCACCTAAATATTTTCGCATTTGATCGCAATTCGCATCTAGTCGGACGAAAACTGACGAACGATACGCGGTCCCCAACCGATCCATATGTTTGGATCGTTCGTGCGTTGTCGTGCGAATTCTGACGAATTGATTTCGCAACTCATCGCAGCTTTCCGCTCCTAGTGGACGAGAGGCCTTATTCTGCTATGCTATAGTCACCTGACTCACATACCATAGAAAGATGTCACATATTGGAAATATTGCAAACTAGATAATTTGATAAAAAACATAAGATGTTTGTACTGCTATGATGCATTTTACGATAATCTGTCAGTCATTTCGCTTTTTCAATGAATTATTTCCACACCAAGCGATTGCTTCTGAACTTGGCGTTCGCTTTTTCCGTATCTCATTAGGTGCATTATACTCAGGATACGGTTTTTATTAACCAAAGAAATTTAATAATATACGTAATAATAGCGTTCCATGAATATTCATAGTGTTAATCACGTGTTAGTAATGAATTGAAACATTCTACATTTTGTTCGAAAAACTTAGAATGGAAAAAAATTGATAGGCGACTTCAAATGAATTATATTGGCCAAAGGTATGGGAAATTAAAAGTTATCAGGGAAGTGATAACTTGAACTTACCTAATTTGAATTGTTTGATATGGAAATTGTTTAACTTGAGAAGAGCTTAGATTAGTACTTGAATTTTTTCTATATCAATATGATAATGTAAGGAAAGGTTATTTATTGATGAAATATTTTATTGATTATTTTGTGTATGTGTACCTATGTATTATAGCTACCATAAGCCAATTGTTACTTTTGTAGGATTAAATCATGATACCAATGATGTACATTTACAACAAAATTAATATCATGATTTTCAAGTCACGTTTCATATTATAAAAGAATATTACGTGCTTGCTGGTTAGATTTTTATAATACTGTCAACAATATATGTCTAACGCACAGTGAATATTGAGCGTCAGACCGCCTGCCTTCCGTTGACGTATCCGTGAGAGAAAGGGAAGCCATTACGCTTCAGGTAATGAAGCGGTTTATCTTGCTATAAGAAGTTATCACATCAAAAAAATCCAGTCTTTTTCAATCTTTTCTCATTTCTAATCTACCTATACTCCTTTTCTCATCTCTTTTCTTCCTTTTATTGGATATATTGATTTCCCATAATTTTTTGCAGATATTTGATGTATCTAGTTAAAAATCAATTCTAGAAGAAAATGAGTTTTTATTCAATTTGAATCATCAAAGAACAATGTTGTTCCAAAGTAACCTAGTTAATGGGTTGAAAAGAGTCCTTCTATGAACAATATCCTTCTGAAGCCTTCTGGAAACTTTACGAACAAAGGATTACCGAGGTCTCAAATTCCAATGAACGGTTTCTAATACTGACAAAGCATCCCACTCGTAATATTGGTCAGAACTTTCTAGCCATCTACGGTTGTTTAGAGAGTTCTGACCACTTTTATACGATATGATTTTTGAACAGATGTATTCCAACGTAGCTCTACGTAGCTCAGCTGGCATTTGCAATATCAAGTTTCAAAGTAATGGAAATTCGCAAAGCTTTGTATTATGTAATAAATATTAAAAAAATAAATGTTTATCTTTGGATCAACTTTGAACAAAATTAATGATTCACTATAACAGATTTTTTTTTCAGCCTGCATATCAACGATGCTAGTCACCAAAACTCTCCCAAGTTTCCTGTAACTAACACATCATCTCTCTGTTGAAACCTTCAAGAGCAACCTCCAAGTCCACCATGTCTGAATCCACCCCGATATGCCGGTGCCGCGTGCTTTATTTGGGTTCGAGTGTCCCGCAACAAACCAAAGATGGCCTTCAAGGCATTCAAGAACCTTTGCAAGAATTATATCCTGATCAAGGAGCAACAGGTGCTAAAGGAATCGACTCGTGGTTGAGCGTTTGGTCGAATGGAATATTACTGGAGAATGTCGACGAAAATCATAAGAAGATTACAAGGTTTTTTCCTATCGAGAGCTTGCATTACTGTGCGGCAGTTAGGTGAGTTCATTAGAGATTTTTCAGTAGCACCTAAAGTAGCAACAGAGTAGTTATTTTTCTATAACTTTTTCGAAGATGCAAACTTGATTGTTTTACTGTCATTTTCTGGTTGTTTTCGATTTCTTAAATTATATTCTCTACACCCGTACTATAATAATACAATTATATGCCCATAATCCGTTTCATAATGAGATTCATAATGATACAGTTTTTTCATAACGACAGTCAATAGAAACCCATGATTTTTCAATCAAGCATGCTGTGCATATGACGTTTGTCCTAGAATCCTATCTGATTGTTTCATTTGTCAAAATCAGTAGGCAATGAATGTTCATAGAATATAGCTAAACTTCGATAATTATATTATTAAAATGTATGATATCAGCGATATAGAAGAATTACCAGATATCGAAGAGAAAGTAGAAAATGCAGTACAAAATATTTTACCCCAAAAATCCAAGAAAGTGTACGAAAAACTATAACGACAGTTTTCGGATGGAAGAAATACAATAACTATTTATGATATGAGTGTTAAATTTCACGAACAAAATAAAACTTTTACAAATATCGGTGTCAGATGACGCCGAATTACCTGGTTACCAACAAACAGTATTGTTTACAGCTCACGCGTTTTATTTAAAGTCACATTAAAAGTTCTTGCTGGTGTTTGATGTCTTACATATTGAAGAACAATAGTGAGGAATTGTGTGTTTCTGACGATATTGAAAAGGCTGCAAAAAGAGCTTCAACTGAATTGTTACCAAAAAAATCGGCTCAGAAAATCGTGTTAAAAATACTTTTAACACTACTGTTAAAATTATTTTTAACGCGCTACTTTGTGAACGTCATCTTTTAATACTCTTGACAACCATTGAAAATGCCACTTTTAATGACAGTTGTACATCGACGAAGCACCCGATACAATGTTGAACTCTATTGAGTCTAGCAATATTGAAATAAATGTAAATATTCCTTCCACTTCCAGATCAGTGGGACCTGGAATACACTTTTCAAACTGCACAATAGGTAATCTTAATATTTTCAAAAAATCTGATCAATTACAATTATTAGGCTCAATAATAATTAAAAATAAAATGTTTATAGTTTTTCTTATATTTATGGAATCACCCGAGGTAATACTATTAATTACAATTTTGTAGAATTTTTTAAAGAAATATGAGTAATTACTGTTATTGCGTTCAGTTCAAATATAAATATATAACTTATAGTTATTCATTATTCATGGGGTGTAGACAAAATAGCGTATGCAACTCTCATGCAATGGTTATTGATACACTCACATAAACCATACGAAACTCGCCTTCGGCTCGTTTCGTATCCCGGTAAATGCTCTTGTAATAATTACCATCATTACATGATAGCTTCATAATATACTGTTATCTTGATGGATACTTAACGTACTAGGAATCGCACATTGAAAGGTAAGGTCTTGTTAGTCTTTATGTCGCACAATTTTTGACTTCTGAGGGTTGCCGTTCGTAGGAAGGCGACATCTGGTTGACTAAAAATTATATTTTAACAAACTTAACCTAGGACCCAACATGAAATAGTGCGAAAAACTTATATAAAGCGATACTGTGATTATGGTTTCATTTATAACTACACTATCACGACAAATATCATTCAGTTGAAATCCATGAGAATGACTTTGGTGGCTAGTTTTTGTGCTTATAGGAATTTAGCGTTTCGCGGCTGGCGTTGATGTTCTGATTGGCTTCTGGGTTTTGCCGTGGCCTTCTTTAAATATGTTAAAAATATGTTTCTCCGTTAACCAGCTCAAAAGTCGAAATTTCTGCGAGCTAAGGAGTAACGAGGTCTTACCTTTTAACGTGTGATTCCTAACACGGGTTGGTCGATAGCAAGTGAAAATCGAGCGTTTAGCCTGCGGCTTGAACCACCAACCAACACGGTGGTCAATTGAGTGAGTAAACAAAGCACCCACGTCGAACCGACCGGCTACCGGTTATAATCTCCAAACATTTCAACTAAAACTGCGGCGGTCATCTTCTGTGGCGTGGTCGAAGTACTCTTCTTGACGTGTCAACTTGACACAAGTTGTTCAAAATGACTACCACCAACTTCTTGAAAATAAGATTCTACTTTCGAATTCTGTCCTTATGTTTGTCAGAATTTCTGCTGTTATATTATCGCACAAATATGTGATTCGTTGTCATAGTTCTTGCCAATTTACTGGCATGAGCTTCTATGAAATAGTTACTAATGCGTGAAGAAGTTGATTTTTTTGAACATATGTAATTGTCTTCAATAACACAGGAGAAATTAGCCCGTACTAAGACGACACCCTGTATGATTCTCCATTAATCGTCAATATTCAAATGAACTTTCCGTACCACTATACCTACCAGTATTCCATTCGATTCAGTACATTGAAGAAGGTAAATGAAAGTTTCTCAACAACTGTACCAAGTTCATGTTTTTCTGAAACGGACATTTACAATTTATTGTTAGTGTGTCACCTTCGACACTGCGACTTGAACTAGAGCTTTCCCAAGAAAATTATCTGCTTCCTAAATTACCAGGTACTTTCCGCCATGGAATTAAAACGGATACACTAATTGAAAAATTGGAATCGGATGGCAGTTTCTTTGTGAAATATTCACAACTGAAACTCGTGAAATTATATTGAACAAGACATAATGTATGGTATTAATATCAGCTCATGTCGTATGATGAAAATATTTCTTCAATAAAATTCAATGGAAAATTGTTCCAAGTTATGTGAGTGACAAGTGAGATAAAATCGTTGGCTACGCCATTTACAAATATCATTACATTCTACAAAACTTCAAAAGCAGAAAGTGAAATAAGAAATTAATTTCCTGAAACCATATTCTGAAAAAATCGTTGGAGGAATCCACTGAAATATTTATATGTGAAACCCCCGAACCATCAAGAGAACGCCACATTCACTATCAACTTGCATTGATTCTCAGAAGTCTCTAGGAGATTTCGAGAGACAGAAAACTCAAACCGCCACTAAATGAAAACAAATTGTTATGTAGAACTATATATAGGTATTGAAAGTTCTCAATTCCAATTTTTTTTCAGATTATGGCAGTTGAAAAATTCCAAAAACGGTAAAAAACTTTGATTTTCTACACGAAAAATACTTTTGTTCAATACCTTTTTTGGCTTTTCAGTTAGTACATCTACAAATAGTTTCTATTTATATCTGTTGATTTTCCTTAGTTTTTTAGAATTTTGTCTGTACTAACAGAAGAATTAGAAAGCCGAAAGTGATTTCGTATCTCAGCTCAATTCAAATTCAAGCTGAGTGTCACTGTATTTTTATTAATATTTGTGAGAAATTTGAGAATGAAAATGATGTAGATTCAAAATGTCAATTATGAACAATGGCGAAAATGTATTCAATATGTTATGAAAGAAGAGGACAACATGTGCAAATAATACCATTCAGTTGAGGAAATTGTTGAAACTCTATTCATAATAATTGCGGAAGGTTCATCGGATTTTTATGGTGATAACACACTATGATTTTTGCTTGTACCTTATATATTCTTGAATAAGCATTCCTATTCATTATTACGTGAATATTCAGAATTAAAATGTTATAGGAATATTAATTGTATATGACTAATCATTACAGTCAAATTTTACCAAGTATTTTTGACTAATACCCAAATGCACGCCACTGCTGGTAGAAAACGACCCGAACGACCCGTTTGGATCTGGTAACCGCTTCTTCCAGCTGTAGCGGATTATAATTAAATCACAAAATTTTTTAGAGCACTCTGTTAGCGTTTTGCATTTATGATGAGCATTTATTACATTTTACCATTAGGAAACAGGGTATATTATTGTTCAGGTTACTTCAGTACTTCAGAAAAAAATTATGTTGGGTCCTATAATATTTTCAACTTCAATGTTTAGGTTCAATGTTTAAACTCACATTTTTCTACAAATAATTAAGGAGTGATTTCATGCGAGATATGTATTATGAACGGCTTGAGTTAAATTCAGAAAAGTCAATGCTGCTCCTCTCCATACCCCTCTAAATAACGAAATATACTGAACCGGATATTAAACAAAAATGTAAACATCTTCAAATTCCAATATTTAAGATGCCGGCCCCAAAACATCAGACCCCCGGGCCTACTTGATATCACGTCCTATAATTATAAGTAGTGAAAAATTTGGCATGGAAATTGTTGTTTATGTATGCCATCCCAACCTTGAAATGAAATGAGAGAATTCCAATGCTGATACCATCGAATATCTCTTCGAATATCAAGTCGTGAAAAGTGTTACAATGCGTGGAATCCTTTAGAAGGTCGTACCACGTCGACTGTAGATTGACCACATTGCAAGGCAGTTTTCTTTCAGCAGGACTGTCATGTCTTGAACATTAGTAAGAAATAATTGTACACAAGAATTCCTAATATATCGAACTAGTCAAGTCGTGATACGCAGAGAGAGAACCTGTTCGAATTGATTATGCAATTTCAAAAGGCGCTTCTACCTTTCCAACGGTCTTTTCGTTAGCTACTTCATGCTCTTGAGAAACAAGACTTGATCTGAAAATATTATGAAATTGCATTCCAATTCCAATGCACAGTTATATTGCAGTGATTCGCATGCTAACTAAATTGTGAGAGTGGTCGATATTGATTTAGTAAACAAAATTCTCCCCGTACTCCGTTATTAGCTGTGGCTGAACCAATATCAGGAAAATCCATCGAAGTAGAGCTGCACGTCAAGAACCTGTCAGCAAACTCATAGTTTTCTGCAATTTAAGTTTAAGATATAACTTCCAACAATGAAATTACGGAAGAGAAGAGGCCCAAATTATTTTCTTGTTCTATTGCTCCATACCATTGGTGCTCAAATTAGTTGGGCAGAAATCCTACCAGTATTTAGGACCAAAACTTTACAGTTTTCTTCCTGAAAATTTAAGATGCGAACCAAATCTTAAAAAATGTTTGACAAAGATCAAATTA